GGATCCACAAGCTAGCAGTGTTTCTAGCATCAGTCTAACTCCTTTGTGGTCAGTGGAGAGGAGGTATTGCTTGGGAGGAATGGTATTTAACTATTGAACACACTAACTGTGTTCAAGGGCAGTTTAATGTCAGTGATACTGATCGGTCTCCTGCAAATTAATTGTTTTCTACATCCTTGGTATGTAAGTGGGTATCAGCCTCCCTTGTTGCCATGAAAGATCACCTCCCTGCAGGACACTTGCTTCCTGCTTTCCCTTTCTAATGCTAAAGTATAGGAGTAACAGTTATCTCCAGGGCATGTATTAGTTGCAGCTGTGGAGAAGTATTTCTTATCAACGTTTTGTGCAGCTCATGCTGCAGCTACTTGTCTAACTCCTATGAGAAACTGGATTTTGTTTTTAATAGCAGCAAGAGTCAGGACAGGCCTGTTGTACCACCTCGGGATCCCTTGGGATATTGCAAAAGCTACAGCAACAGCTGCCCTCTCTCTTGCCATTTACATCTTTGGAATGGAACGTAAAAGCATCTGTCCTGGCAAGTCTAAGATGGAAATTCATTGGTTTTTCTAAGTTTGTTTATTCCCCTAAGAAAATACCACCATGGAGGGCAGTTGGGCTTCTCGGCCTCAACAGCAGAATACAGAGCCATTGAAAAAAGTGACTTGCTCAAGAATATGAAGTCAAGGGTGTGAAGCCTAAAACATCACCTTAGATGGTGTGCATCCAGTGTTTTCCTCAGCCACCAGGAACCTGATTACCACCTCCTGGGGACAGAAAAGGTATCTTTAACAAATTCCAGGTGCCAATAGTAGATAGTTAACAGCAAAACAGTGCTTTCAGGGCAGATAACTGAGATTGCTGTTGTGGTCATGATTCAGTTTATTTTGTCTTTGAATTCTTATAGTAACTTACAGTAACAACCTGTCCTGTTGAAATAGGATAGAAAGAGGCAGATGTAGGAATGTGCGCTGGCTGTGCTTCCAGGCTAGGGAACTGTTTGTGGAGTGCAGTTAATAGAGAAGGGTGTCATGAACAACCTACAGGTTTCTGATGTGTAACTGTAGCTAAAAAGCAAAGTAATTAACGGATGTCTCTCCCATTTAGAGACAAGGATGTTGTGTGGGACAGTGTCGAACACTTTGCTCAAGTCCAGGTAGATGACACCAACTGCTCTACCCCGTCCATCAGTTCTGTAGCCCCACCATAGAAGGCCACCAAATTGGTCAGGCAGGATTTCCCCCTTAGTGAAGCCAAACTTGTTGATTTTCATGTGCCTTAGCATGCCTTCCAGGAGAATCTGCTCCAAGGATTTGCCAGGCACAGAGGTGAGACTGACTGGTCTGTAATTCCCCGGGTCATCATTTTCCCCTTCTTGAAAATGGGGGTTATATTTTCCCGTAAGTCATTTCAGCAGTGCTTCAGAATGAAGCACATGAATTGTGTTAGTTTAATTACATGTTCTGACAACTTGTCCCTTGCAGCTGCAAGAGCTGAACTGCCCATGGTTACTTGAAAAATGATTACTTGAAAAATCACTTTAATGCAGTCATGTTGTCAGGGTGTTCCATTAAGTACTCATATAACATCTCAGGCTAAGCATGAGATTTGGGATGCATCCACTGCATCTCAGAACATGTTTTAAGGTGAAGTAACTTAGTGTAAGAGCTTCTTCCTTGACCTGTAATGCTGAAGTCAGACTTTCTGCCATTCACAATGGATGAGTACCCCTGTGGGTAGGAAAATGTGACCTTTCCATGCAGCAGCAGAGTAGACCAAGGTGATGGGAGAGCATGTGGTAAGTGAATTCTCAATCACCCCATTTCCAGGTAGGATTTTTCAGAGCTCCCTCTATCAGAGATAGACAAGTTGTGTCATGAAGTTTGGTTACTTTAATCCTCTGCTAGCAGCTGTTGGAGATAAAAATAACTTTTATGCCCTGCTGTTTTTAGTAGGTAGATGGAATGCTGCTTTGAACTTGCCTGTATTGCTCTCCAAAAAGCTATTTCAAATTAATTAGCTGAATGTTATTATTTTATGGCTGCCCATGTATCCTGCAAGCTGGTAATACTTGTGAACAACTGGGTTGTAGTGCCACATGCTGACTGCTTTTCAGTGGTAGGTCTTGCTGTCAGTCCCAAGCCCTGTCAGTCTCTGAAGGCAGTGGAGTCTCAGTGATTTACACAAGTCAAGTGTCCACAGAGAGATTCATTTAATGGATGTGGTTTTGAGGAAAATACGTTGCTAAGTCCCTTTTGCCTGCCTGATACTTTTTCCATGGGAAAGCCCTGCTGTGTTTTGTTGAAGCAGCTTCTGTCAGGAATTGTCTTGTTTCTTTTTCCAGGTCACCCGCCTTTATGGTGCATGTTCCTTCTTGACTGCAGTGAGTATTACTAAGGCTTCAGACAGCTTTCTGAGGTGAATGCAAGTGAGAGCAATGTCTCTCTCAACTTGTTTTTTTGTTCTTTTCATAGCTGTATTGCCTATAATTCTCTGTAATCATTCCTGCTTTCTTTTAACATCAGGAACAGAGGCCACCATTGTTTTATACCCAAGTCAAAAAGGTATGGAGTAAGGATTTTTTTTCTTATTGATAATTAAAAGGAACATGCAGACCTTTAAATCTGTGTTTTAAAAGGTGAATCACAGAAACAAACGAGAACATTTTCCTGTAACTTTTTTCTTGTAGAAAACAGGCAGTAACTGATGAAATCTGAAAAAGCCTGGTATAGTCAGAGTATTAGACAGACTGCAACTCTTGTGAGTTGTCCTGAAGTCTGCGGACAGCCTGGGCAGTGTCTGGCCCACGAGCATCAAGCAAGGGGGCAGCAGTAATGAACACACCTCCTGTGACCAGCTGCCTTCTGCTGTGGTGGCCACATCACCCCAAAGGGACACCCTCCCAAGACAGGTCTGTATCAGCAGTGTAGAAATGACAGTTCAGAAAGAGCTGGTGTCAGAACGTCAGTACTTGATTTCTTTCGGTTAGAGCTCACTGATAGCCTGCAGTGTTGATATTAAAAAACATAACTGGGTAAGTGGAGTAACCCAGCATTTCCCAAACACAGAAGAATTTTCTCTGATGGTGGATCTGATCACACTGGAGCTGGTTTGACAAAGACAAACACTGCAGGTAAGTACTGTAAAAGTACAAAACCAAAGCACACAAAGCTCACATTACTGCAGAAGTCACACAGTTATGTCTCCTCTCCCTCATAGGCACTACTTTTTGCTTTCACTTTTTAGTCCTTTTTCTGCCCCTGGGATAACACATCATGTGTGGATATTAAAAGTACTAAGTACATTGAGCTGGATATTGGACTGGAAGCATACTTGGGGCACATTGATGAACTGTTTAAAGGTGAGCTTGGAAGGCATTAAGGAGAAGTGGGAAGGAGGATGAGAAGCGGGGTATCTTGCTGGTAGGTATCTTAACTCTTCAGTATCTTTTACTGCAGAGAAGGGAAAGAAAGGAGTGAAGCTGAAAATGAAAATGGCAGATTCCAGAGATGAGAGATGAAGAGGTAAATGCTAAGGAATTAGAATGGTGTGATGGGAGAGAAAGCAGGGTGGATTACTGTGAAGAGAGACAGCAAGACATGTTCCAAAGAAAACTGGATGCAGGAGTGTTGTAGTTAAGTTCAGTGGTGTATGGACTTCTGTGGTGTGTCTGGCTGGGCTGGAGGGGAAGAAGCAATGCCCTTGGCTGTACCAGCACACATTCTTACCAGGATGACTGACGGAGTTCACAAACACGAAAAATATGCTCTATCATATGCGTTTTATTGACTGAGAGGGTGGGAAGGGTGTTTGCCCATGCCAACGTGTCCAGAAGGAATCCCTTCCCAACCTCCTAAAGTAAAATCAACCCGAGGAAACAAAGCGTGTCTAAGTGGTGTGAGAAAACCTTCTTTTTACTTACTGCTCAGCTGTCCTGACTTCAGATTTTTACCATTGCTGAAAAGCTCTTTCACCTGCAGTGAATCCTGATGGTGACAATCAGTGATGCATTCCTGTTCCCCGTTCAAGTGTCTGTACCTGCAATCTTTGCATTGAAACTCTGATCAAATAGGCAGAAAGGACTGCCAGCCTGAATCAGCAGCAGATCAAGCTTCCATCTGTCTCTTGCTAAGCTTTCCTTACCCAGGCTGTCTCTGTCACTCTCCTTCCAGAGAAGTGATGCAATTTCATCAGTATAATGAGACCATCTCTGCAGGCAAGCCACAAACACTGGCACAGGGTAAGAGGCATTGTACCTTTTAGGATTTTTCTATGTCAGAAGTGCAGTCCTTTCTTGCAGCATTTCCTCTCACCTTTGCATTATCTTGGGTCTTACTTATATGTAAGTTTTGCTCTTCCAGTCTCTACCAGCAGATAGCTCTGTTCTTTCTTCCTTGGGATGGAAGTAACACTGTCTTACTGGTGAGGAAATGGTGCTTCTGAAGACATTTTTATTAACTCAGATTTATAAACAAAGTAAAAGCCTATTTTAACATTAAAAAAAACCTGGATGTTTTACATGAAACTGGAAGATTGAATGGGAAAGGAAGCAGAAGGGGACAGCATACAGACTGTGGTTTTTCTTATGGGTTTTGGGGAGTTTGTTTTGGTTTGTTTTTTTTTTTTTTAAGAATTCTTCCAGATCCATATAAATGTGAACACTGAAAGGTGCCACTGTCCCTTTATTTTTTTTCTGGAAAAGGTCTGCATTTGATATCCATCCAAGATGGACAAATGGTGAAAAATGAGACAGGTGCCAGGGGCTCATTATTCTGTTGATTGCTGGGCAACAGCAGCAGCTGGTCACAGTAAGCATGATGCTTTGGAACCAAGAATTTTATTGTATGCTTACAGCAAGACATGGGATCTCAAAGGTGATCTAGTGTTCATGGAATTATTTGAGGATGATTAATTTAGAAATGGCTTTGTAGGTCTATATATCAGAGTGCAAGACTGCCATCAGTGTGGTGCTATCCTCACTGTAACATAGACTTTGCCTTCAGTAACTTTGGAAGCTTTTTTTATTGAACTTTCATAGTTCTGGCATAATCACAGACTTGATGAAGACATGTCTAAGCCAGCTAGGAAGTCTGCTGCTTAACCCACTCACAAATCAGCTGGTGAGCAATGGCCTGTTTGGGAGGAAACCAGGGTAAAAAGCTACCATCATCTTGCTTTGAAGATCTGGGCTGTCTCTTGAGACCCTCCACAATTTCCTCCAAGCCAAACCAACGGGCTTCCTCTAGTTCCAGCTTGTTCATACTGATCTGGAAAGAATTCAGAGAATACCAGTTCCTTAAATCAGATTTAAATATGGGCAGCGGTACCTTGCTTGTTCTTGCACCCACAAAGTTCCTATGTTAGAATTCCCAGAGTGCTTTATCCATATCGGGATTAAGTGCTGAAGCCAGTAGAGGAAAGGACACTACTACCCACCAGTGTTTTGTTGTCTTGGTTTCCTTAGGGAATCCACAAATCAGCCCTATTCCATCATGGCACTGGACTGCAAAGTATCAGTGGCTAAGCATGGTAATTAATGTGACAGAATGTGATATTAATGGCAAATATCATATTAATACTAGAGAGTATCTCCTCTGCAAAGTTCAGAGGAAAAACAATCAGGGGTGTTAGGCTGTGAGTTTGTACATGTTCAGAGATCTGTGCAAAATCTGGCATGTTGCAACAGAAGATACCATTATTTTGAAGTTTGTTCCTCACTTCTAGAGAAAGCTGATGGAAAACTGCATTTAGAGAGGATCTGTTGCTCTCCAAACTCGAGTCTGTAGACTGAAAGATACTTTGCTATGTGAGGTGAGTAATGAAATGCCTCAGGGGTACCCAAGTCTGCTCACCTCAGCCTGCTGTGCCCTCACTATAGCGTGACAAGCTATCATTAAGCAGCTACTGGGAAAGGGCCAATGCTGAGAAGCTGAGTACCAGAGTGACTCCACCTCTAGGCCAACCTCTTCTGCCACCTCTCGATGGACTGCCTCCTCGACGTTTTCACCTAAAAGCAACCATAGTCAGGTAAGAACAGCCTGGCCTCAGGGCAGTAAACCATGCAAAGAAAATGTAGGTACAGTTATTTCTGAGGTGTTCCAGCCCTGACTGCTCACACACATGCAAGAGCTCTGGCTGTGCTGACCTGGAAACGCTTGTCAGCAGGATGCTCAATTAAATTTATCAACAATGCTTACCTTCGTTAAGCAGAGACATCAGAGACATTTTTGCTGTGTCTATATACAGTTGGTAGGCAGAACAATGCTGCCTCTGTTCATCATTTCCCTTTTTAAGCCATTTTGTCTCGTGTAACAAGAGGTCTGTAGTTTTTCTTCTGAGCCAGACTGTACTAGACACAAAATGGACTAAAAAAGTATCTGGGGTTCTGATCTGGTGAGTCTTACACATGTATTTACTTACCAACAGGGACTACAGCCATTGATACATACCCATAATTCCCATTCTCTTCAGATAAATACAGCTATTTTGAATTCTGTCTGGATGGGAAGGCTGAGCTATTTAGATCCAATATGTTTTTCCCTGATACCACTTGTGTGTCTGTCCATTCTTCTCTGTGAACATGTATTTGATGTTTGCCCATTCTTCCCCCACACCCTACATGTCCAAGGCCACTGTGCTGGGTCAGAGACCACCTTACCCATATCACAAAAGCCTGACAGAGCAGAATACATTCCCTGGGGAAACGAGGGCTGTCGTGCAAGGAGGCACCGGCTCCCATCAGACACCAGGGTGATAATCACTGGAGACATCTAGCAAATGCATCAAAAAGCAAAGTAAGAAGTTCAGACCAAACAAGTAAGTACAAATTGCTGCTTTTCCTACTGCACTGAGGGTCACTGAATGTACACTAAAGAAAAAATAACCAGCTAGGTGCAAAACTTTTACAGGTTCTCCTCTATGCGACCCAGCAGCATTGGCTTGTCACCACAGAGTCCCTGTGTTGATTACCTGTGCTGTTCATATGCTCACCTGTGGATAGTAAGTTATTCCGCTTGCATGACAGACACGCTTGCTGCCAGCTATGTTTCTTTGAGTGGGCTGCCCAGTTTTGCTGCAGTACTGGTGGGAATCGTGCCACTGGAGAAGGGACTGAGCCTGCGAACACCAAGAAAACAAACACAAATCTTATTTCTGCCTTCTTGAAAAATAGCCCAAGCACCACAAACATTATGAAGCAGGAAAATAAACATGAGCTGTTTCTACTTATGGGTCAGGACAAGCTGATTTTCACGCACAGGTCTTTTCATAGGACTTCCAAATGTAGGGTATCTGCAGATTAATAGCTGATAAGTAAATAGTTTTGAAAGCAGCTCTGAGAGAAGGTCAGAATTGAATTTGTGAAATTCAATTTGCCTAGAAGATTATAAGAAACTAGTGCTGGATAATTGTTAAGCTGAGGACAAACTCGGATTGCTGTAACTGCTGATAATATCAGTATGTTTCACACTGGACATGAAGTAGGTTGATGCTAAATGGCTAATTAGTTCAGATATTTATTTTAAGCCACTTGTCTATTTCTCTTTCCATTGCAGTTTGCTTTTGGGATCACAAATTTGGGAAAATTGTTGTCATTTATAGTGTGTTTGTACCTAGGTCACTGAAAGTGTGCAGTACATACTTCCACAACATGTATTAAATCATAAAACAATATGGGAGACAAGGAGAAAGGTTAATGTTAGAAATCTCAGCTTCTTAAAGTAAGAAGTCCTGTACAATACCGAAGCCAGCAAAGGAGAATCCTTCCTATCCACTACGAAGAGAGCCTTTTGTAAGTTAGTAAATGATCCCTTGAGTTGAGACTCAATGACTGATTTTTCCAAGGCTCCTGTTTAAAAAAAAACAACAACAAAAAAATCTTTGATCTCATAAATCACAGTTATTATCCCAACTTTACGCCCTACATTGTTCCGGTATACAATTTCTGGAAGTTCCTGTGGAAGTGACACCACATCAGTGGTAACATTCCCAAATGTTAAGTGACCTGCCAACAGCCCACCTTTACTAACGCACAGTTCTGTGCCTCTGACCCGCCACTCAAAACAGCTCCCATAGAGACTCAACTGAGTCTACTCTGGCAGTAAATATTCACTCAGCAAGGATTAGAGATGATGCCTAGGCAGCATCTTCATCTTGGTGCATCAAATGTGATGCTGACACAGATGGAAGAGGAGTAATCCCAACCTAAATCCAGGGCAAAGTGTGGTATGTGCTCGTCTGAACAACCGATCAGCACCGACTTCTCTATCCACTGTTCTGTCTCTTTGAATTTCTCCAGGATCCTTTTAATCTCTAAACAGCAGGGGAAAGGGGAAGAAAAATCTGTGATGAAAGTGCATTCATACAACCATTATGCTCTCTCTGGATCTTCAAGGCATATGCAATCTTAGCTCAGAGCAGGGTGCTCATGTGAGAGAGGGAACTAGACACGTGGTCCCGCCTGAATGGAGACCAGAAGTCTGGCTTTCCTCTTAGCTCTTAGAAGTTTTGACCATGTCAAGCTAAAGATGGAAATGCTGTAATGCCTTGGAAGCAGCTGTCCATTCTCTTTCTGTCCTACACTAGCCAGCACCTTTCTCTCACTGAAAATTTCTCCTGTGTTACACCAAATAATCTCTATCAGATAGACCTTGCATTTCCCCTGCCAGCCCTTTCTCTTCAATAGGCATGGTCCCAAATGTTTAAAAATGATCATCACAAAACACATCAGGTATATGTTGGTACTGTATGTGTGTGAAGAGCATGAGCTTGTGTCTGCCTGTCAAGGTTTTAAGTCTGAATAGTCTTTGGTTGTTAACAGAGTGTGCAGGATATTCCTGCACAGCTTGACAGATTTTCAACACCCATATGAAGTGTTGCTTATTGCAAAGGACTCTCTATCATTTCAGTTGTGTGATCCAGGAGGTATTTCCAGACACCTGCTTACCTGCTGCACTGAGCTGTGGTATGAAATATTTTTCCCCAACTTTCTCCAGGAAGGGAGAGAGATTGTGAAAGAGGTAGAAAGTTCCTGCGGTCTGGGCTTGTCTACAAAGGCTGTCATCTTCCTTTAACTCATTTAAGTATCTGAAGTGAGAGAAGAATTGGGAAGATGAATTCAAGATCGTGTTGAGATCACCTTGTTATGCTTAACTGGACATATTTATGTTCCATAGAGCAGGGGGAAGAAATGGACAGAACAGATTTTATGTATGCCATAAGCTTCTAGAGTTTCTGACAGCTGAGTCCACTCACTGGTGGACTGTAGACCTTAGCAAAGGTGCTGTGTGGCAGAAAATACTGCAGTTGTTACTACACAAGCAGCCTCAGGTCTTGGACATCCAAAAAGAACAGTAACCCAGTCTCTTAATCCAAGAAGTCTGCTTTACAGACATGATCATTTATGTGCACAAGACCTTCATCTTCCCTTTTATTCCCCCCAATCTAGATGGCTCCAAGTCTCTGGAAAGCTACTTGAGCACTTCAGATGTGGAATACTCTTCCCATCAGGCTACATGCATTACTGCAGGATACGTTCTATCTGTCACACTGACATGAGAGGTAAAGACCAAGCTGAAGTCTTATGGCCCAGTTGGCTGGGGCCTGAATTAGGAAAAGCAGTCATTGGAAAAAGGGTGTCAGGATGTGCTGCTTTCAGACTGTTTGAAGTAGTATTTAAAGAGTCGAGCAGCATTGCTTCAAGTTTGTCTGTACTTTAAGAGATCTTTTGCTAGGAGAGCAAACAGGCATTTATTAACAGAGCTTCAGCCTCAGAGAACCAGTTCTTATCACTGGTGAACGGAGTGGAGACATTACTAACTGTTATCATTTCCAGAGCTCTCATAGCATTACTACGTCATTGTTCAGCTGTGAAAAGATTTAGGTAGGGCTGCTTGTGACAGTGGATACAAGGGTGCCAAACTCTGGTCTTCTCACTGTACACAAGAACTTACCTCATTTTTCTAACATAGGTAGAGTGTAACCTGCAGATGAGAGAGGAAGCTCTTCTATATGCTGCTTGATAAATTGCAGCCATAACCAACACCTAGAGGTAGCTGTCTCTGCCTAAAAAGAGAAGCATAGAATATAATGCAGAGGCCCTACAAAGTTAAGTTTGATTTAAAGGTGCAAACACCCACTAGCAGAAATCTCCCTCTCACAGAGTCTGCAGAATACTGGCATCTGCTTTCTAAAATTATTGCTTTGGTCTTTACTTCTAGTCACACATCAAATCCAGTTTCAGGCAGTCTTTAAGATTATTAAAAGATACCTCAGTTTGTTTCCATCTGCGACTGTGCACAAGTCTTACAGAAACTGCAGTAAGACTACATTGAACGTTCCCGTCCTAAATTCCTGTATCCATGGGGAAAAGAGGAGTGAAGGTGACTGCTCTGTTGTTTGTTTCCTACACAGTTTGTAATGGCCTCAATCCAACTGAACATCCTATTGCAGTACACAGTAGATCTGTGGGAAAGGCACGGATGCCAGAAGAGAATGAAAGACAAAATATCAGCTGTGGAAGAGAATTCCCCAAGTTAGACAAGAGACAGCAGTTGCAGCTGACTTGGACCATCTCCAGCTATGAATGCTTTTTGTGCCAAACAGTCCTACCACATTTTCAGCTCAGGCAGTCACAGACTGCAGTCTGATCTCAACTTCAGGATGTCAGAAAATAGCCAGAAATGCTACCATCTCTAGCATTCATCTGAAAAAATAAATATGATTCATAATCCTTAATTATTAGGTATATTTCACTTTTCAGCCATAGAACTCGGAGCTCCTTAAGGAGGAAGTTACATTTGCTTTGACTTACAGGCACAAAAGCAGTGCCAAAGAAGAGTCCTGAGAGTCCTTCCTTTCAGTAAAGGTCAGTGATGGCTCCAGAGCCTGAGTGGTGCCTGAGCAGAGGCTCCCATCTGCACATGCAGTTTCTGTAGCAAGCAGCATGGAGGCTGTGCCTTGCAGCTTCTGACATCTTTGCCTCATATCCTTCTTTCCCAATGTCTCAGCTGAGCCTGGTGAGACACGGGAGCCAGGCCTGCTGCAGAAGCTGCTGGGGAGAGCATTGGTATCCCTGCTCAGTGCTGCAGCCACAGCAATGGGAGCTCGGCATGCTGCCAGCAGGCTCAGGCAGACGCATGCGAGGACTGACACCAACACGGAGACCACGTCTGAAACAGTTTTGTGGTGTGATGATTATGTGTCCGTCACTTCTCCACCCCCATGTCTCATAGAGCTTGGCTTGTGAAAATCTGCAGAACAGCAGCAGCCTGTGCTGAATTCAGGAGCTCTGTACTTTGGAATGAACAGCAGAGTGTGACTGGGGCAGGGAAAGAGGAATAGCTTGTACCTGGAATGATGAAATGCAACATGTGCAGGCGTTTAACCCCTTCCTTCCTAGGAACCACAGTGCCAGAGTTTGATTAGGATCATTGGAAACTTGGAGACAGTAAAACTTGATCTTAGGAGGCCAGCCCAAACTCCCATCTTGCCTTTAAGTCTCACCTATGCTGTACAGCTGGCAGGAGGTGGATCTAGGCCTGTCGTTCCCACACGTTTTCCCGACTTACTGTGCTCAGGGGTGCTGTGTCCAGCAGCAGGGATCAGCTAGCTGTGAGAGTCCCGCGTTGACCTCGGTTAGCAGCCCTGCTCCTACAACAAACAGCGGAGCAGCTGGCTCCCCGGGTCTGACTCGCTCTTCCCCCACTGGGGGCGCTGGGAAATGTAGTTCTGCCCAGGCTGCTCGCAAGCCATTGGCAAAGATAGATGGCTGGATTTTGATTAACTTCTGGAGTTAGCGAGGATGCCTGTCAACAAACTCTTCTTATTTTCCACAGCTGCTTCATTCTATCAGGAAACCAGATGCTGTATTTTACCATGCAGAGACAGACATGAGAACAATGCCACTGCAGGAATTTGTGCTGTTCTAGCAGAGTTTGTTCCTGGTAGTTTCTTTCCCTTTTTTCTTCTAAGCTTCTCTGTTTTTTGTATCAGTAACATAAAAGCACTGTTTAAAGTTAAGAACCATATGGCTTCAAACAGAAAATATGCCAAGAGCTCTGTATATACCTAAAGGACGGAGTTGTTTATAGTGTTGAAGCACCCAAACCCGCAGTTGAATTTATATGTGAATAGTGCTGATCAGAAAGTGTGCTTTGCCAAGACAGATGTCAGAATAATGACAAATTATTCTCATGCCTTTATATCTGAACAAACAGATTCCTCCCAAGTACTGAAAACATTATTCTGGGCTGGAACCTACCTGCCTATATTTAGCACAAAGAGAATTTTATAAACATATGAAAGTAAATGTTTTGCTTTTTGGTCATGAATTGAGACATTCTAATCGAGAATTCACATCATGTAATTTGAGAGCATAGCTTGTAAAAATAATAAATAGAATATGCAGGGAAATAGCATGCTTGTTACAAGCATTACTTAAGTTTAGGATTAATTATGCTTGAGTGCTATTTGTGTGCTCCCTGAAACAGAGCAAGCCCAAGCTTATTAATCCATTAAAGCTAATTGGATTAATGGACAAAATACATCTTCCCTTAATAAGATAAAGGATTGAAATATAATCTCTAAGGGAAGTATCCACCCTGCTGTTAAAATAAACTAACAGATTTATTGACCCTAACTGCTCCCAGAAATGGATCTTTCAAGAAGAGCTGTTTTTTGAGGAAAGCAGTTGGAGCAGATACTTTGGACGTCAAATCTTGGGACAGCCTCTCAACCTCCTGCAGCCCAAAGCAATCCATCATTTGGTAACTGCACCCCTATTCACGTGAAGGGTTAAACGCCAGAGCACTATGCCGCAATGTAAAGACTCCTTTGAAGGAGGTACAGTGCTGTAGTCTCTTGTTGCTATAAGCAGCTGAAAAAAAATCATGGATTAGCCCAATTGTGTATGCCTGGCCTCTGTGCTGTGTGAAGATATGCAGAGAAAATGAGATTAGAGTGACTCTGTGGGGAGCCATGCAGTCTGTGAGAGATTCCTTGTGCCTTCTCCAAGGATCCATACACCTGTGTGGGACTGTGCATTGCCCTAACAAATATTTCTGCAGTACATAAGCAGGGGAGATAATTTAATTAATTTAAGGAGCACAAATATCACTTGTCACTTCAGCACTGAGTTGCTTCTTTGTCAGTATTTTTAGACTGGGCTCTGAGCTGTGTGAATTGCATCTACAAACTATGTGTATTAGTCTCTGCACATACTGTACTCCATGCTAGAAGCCATCCTGTTAGTGAAGGCCTGGCCCTATAAATGTATCTCTGACAGCTTCCTGTTGCTTACTGAGCTTTGGCAGGCCACCAGAGGAAGTGAATCCTCAGATTCTCCTGATGTAAGAAGAGCAAATAAAAGGAACAGACAAGGAGGACACAAGCAGTGGGAACAAATACTTGTTATCTTTTGCATGGGCAAGAGTGCAAAATGGACAGATCTTCGGTCCTATGTTGCTAAGATTTTTTTATTTTTTTTTAATGTGGGTTAAAAAAAAATATATTGGTATTAGCAGTTGGTAAAAGGATTTTCAAGCCAAAGTGGCTGGGAAAAATGTAATCCTAGGCTAATAATGATTATAGAACTATTCTTGCTTGTTCTGTTTGGTATCTTTCCAGCTGTCCAATAAGCAGAAACAAGCATTAGAATTGCTAACAGGTGGCCTTTACAAAACAAATGTTAATTGCTTTAAATATATAAAATTAGCAAACTCCCATTGAACACTTATGGTCAAGCCACAAGAAACCTCTTGGAATAAAAAGATACTTCTTTTTTTAGGAAGAGCCCAAGGAAAGATAAAACCCACTTCTTTAAAGAGAAAGTTAATGAGTAGTCTTTCCCTCTATCATTACATTTTAGATGCAAACTAACCAAATCTGACTTTTTGTAAAGTGAGACTTGTAGAGTATGTTATTTATAAGATGGACTCCTTCAGTTTCTCATGCTCCAGGTGCAGACCTTGCAGGAAACTAATGTGATACTGCTGATTACATTCTGTGCTCCTAACACTAGCACAGGTGTACAGGAGACTCTTTAACATCTGAAAGATACTTCAGTAGGATTTGCTCATTTCAGCTTATTGGGGTAGCACGTGTGGTTTTTGACGTTTTCCCTCCCTGCTGCTGTTGATTCAGGAAGATCCTCCAAGTCTGGCACTGATTTTTAGCACTGCACATCATAACTGATGATAAGATCTAGCCTCTTGGCTGCAGGTAATGATGTCATTTGGGAAGCAGACTAGCACTGTTAGATGAACGTGTGTGAAATAAAGATGAGACTTCATCTCTTTTCAAGGGTAAACCTAAGTAGTTTAAAAAGCTAAGCAATACAGTGAGCTAACTTGGTATGATAGAAAGGTGACTCACCTGTGTCTTAAAACATTTCAATGCAGCTGACAGCCTGTCATTTCTAAAAGAATACTGAAAAACTCAGAAAGGTTCAAAGAGGACAACAGGCATGGTCAAAGACTTGGACTACAGCCATTGCAAAGAACTAGGTAGGCTCTAATGCTTCAGTCTGTGTAAGGGATACGTACCAACTGTTTGCTGTCTCAGCCAATCCAGGAACCTGGTTTATCAAATCTAACTAGCTGGTTTTCCATGCCCTGGCATAACTACTAGGTCAAGGATGTTGTGGATGCAAAACAATTCTAGCTCAAGAGACGAGGAATACTTACCAGAGAACTCTATTGAGGGTTACTAAATAGACCACATCAGGCTGAGAAAATCCCTGTTAAAAGTGTTTGGAAGCTGGGACAGTACTCTAGGCAAACAAAGCTTTGGTGTAAGCCACTACAGTTGTGTTCTTGTGAAGCCTCTTGTGTTTCTTTCTTGTTTTAGATGGACATTTCTTTTAGCATCTTTCAGCTTAGGGCCTGTGGAGTGCTTCTACAGGATTGCTCAGGAAAGGAAGTATGTTGTTAGGCTTGTGTGTGCTACAAAGGACTCGGTGTTTTTGCTAAAAACCACACAGGGCTCTGCAAACCCTAAAGAAAGGCTGAAAGCCACTTGTTCTGCTGTAGTTCTTTCAAGAAGCATTCCTGTTGCACTTGTTCTTAGATATAGTAAGTGCTTCCTAACAAGGTGCCAACGTAACAAATTGCTTTGCTAAGGCATTTTTGAAGCTGCCCAGCCCTATCAGCATTTGACAGCAGGTGATAATGCAGAAGTCCAGCATAAACCAATTTACAAACAATCTTTTAATGCAACTGGAAGGTCAGTGATTGTGCTGGAGTTGGGGGAGACATGAGAAAATAAGTACTCTCTACCTAACTGGCAAAAAGCACGTAAGGGGCAGAAACCGAGTTGCAGAGCACGATGATGCCATGACTACTAGAAGCAACTCTTGATTTACCTGCGTGGTAGATACAAAAATCCTGGGCTCCTTTTAGCAGAAATTTCTTTGCCTTCAGCCCCACTCTGACCAGTACAATCAAGCCTGCAATCAAACATGCTAATAATCATGTTGTTCTACACTGTCTGCCTTAGTTTTGATTGACATGTTTGTCAGTAGTGCAAAAGCAGTGAATCTCACTAGAAAAAAATCTGAATGCTCTACAGTGTGTGAGGTTTTGCCAAATCTCTGGAAGCTGCTGTTAAATCTCTGGCTCTATATTATGAACTCTTTGGATAATAGGGCTTTAACTAGATTCCTCAGCTAGAAGCTTGGATATCATTCCAGTATTTCCTGCTAGTTGTAGGAGTTGTATTTCTGTTGGAAGGTGACCAAAATAAGAGGAAAGGAAAGCTTATTTTTTGACAGATAGCTCCACTAAAAACTGGCCTTCTTTCAGCTCTGGCACAGCACCACTTGCAGTACTGGCAGTGTAGTCAGCTGTGTGGACACATCTGTATCCACAGTTGGACAAGAAATTACTACCTTCATTTAACATTGTTGTTTGTTTCTCATATGAGCTATGTCATATCTCAGTCTTCCCTAAAATGGGGCATAACATGTGATGTTATGATGTTTGCTCTTCAAAAGACATTGCTTAGGGAGTTGAAGCTGAGGCAACAGTTTAGGAATAAGGAAACAAACCTTAGTTAAAGATCATGCTGCAACCTCCAGTTACCTCTTTATGAATGAGGTGGGTTTAAGCCAGTTGAAAAGTAACCCTGCTAAAGAATGTGTGCCAGAAAGGGATTTTGACCCCTGTTACGGCTTTGCCAGCACTGAGTAATTGTTGTTGTGAAAGCTTTTGAGCTGGGGTGGCCAAAAATGTCTATCATAAGGAGGATCACGGGCTGGCATTACTAGTAAGGATTGTTTGAAGTTCACATCTAAAAAGAAGGGAAAACTTGCTTATGAGCATCCCCAATTGTAACTTAATTGCTGAAACTACAATGAGCAAGTAACTAGTTTATTTATGAGCTCCTAGAAAACAACAGCCAGCATAGATCTGTCACAGCAAGATACATCCAAGCAGCTTAATGTCTTTTTGCAATAGGGTGAGCTACACCTAGATTTTTGTGCTGCAGCTTTTGATACTGCCTCACAAGGCGCCTCTTTGATCAGCCAAGTTGAGCTGAAAGCCCTGGAACAAGGGGAGGCTGCTTCAGAAATGGCACTTGATGAAGGTACCGTCAATCTGGAAACACCTCCACCTGGGCTTTGCAGAAGATGAGTGCAAGTATTGGCCACCAGCAACGACTTGGATGGTGGAACAGAAAGCATGCTGTGAACTACAGCAGATGACACCAGTTGGAGCGCAGGAGGTGCAAGGTCAGTTTAACAACAAAATTCCCAATATAAATTAAAGCACAAGG